ATAAAATTTCTATTCCACGGTTTCAAAAAAAAAAATAGAAATCTATATTTAAAATATTCGCTTTCTAAGAATAATACGAAATCTACTTATCAATCTTTCGGATTAATCTAGAAATTATTATATTCCCTCCTTCATTTATGAAATTCTTTTGATATATAATTATATAAGATGACAAAGAGTAATATAATATAAAATTCAGATGCGATCTTATATCTCACGAAGGTCTTAAATTCAAATCAAAATACTATATCAATTTTTTATTCATATATCAAAAAATCAGATTTTCATTTTAAAAATATATAACTAACTATATATTTCCATGCGACCGGTCGATCAAACAAGATACAGAAGAATCCAGAATTTCATATTCTTAGTCTTAACTCGATCAGAACCCTAGTCCTCCAGCACACAACCGAAAGGTCAGACAAAATACGAGATAATCAAAACTCACACTTTCTACCATATAATTAGATCGGAGCTCTAAATTCTCGTGCACGGCCGCTCGGTCCCATCCAATTCTAATTCGGTCAAATTCTTGGCTCAACAATCTAATAATGCCAAAATTTCATATTTAATCAAAAATTAATTTACAAGCCTGGCAAACGATATAGAGAATTTTAATTCGTATTTTTCGATCATAATTCTAATAATTCAAAATAACGTATTTTTCGACCATCATTAAATTAGAAACTTAGATTTTCTTATAAACCGACGACATAGAAGAATTAGATCAAAATTTTACACCGTACTTCAACGAGACATAAGAAAATTCAGATTTTTTATTACCCAAAATACCCTACCCTTCCTTATTTATTCTATTAATAAAGACAGACCTTATAAGAAAATCGAAATCTAATAAGCAAATAGAATTTTAAATAATTTCGAAATTTTATTTTTTCAAAACATTACCGCCTATAAAATAATCTATCGATTTTTATTTAAGATTTCAATTTTCAAATTATATTTCATAAGAAATTTAATTTTCAATATATTTTATTAAAATAATTCTAATTTTAATACAAGTTTCTTTCTATATATTATATCAATTTAAAATTAAATTTCTGTATTTTTTTTGAACTTTAAGTAAATCTATTCTATAACCTCAAAAAATCAAAATTATATAAGTTTTTCAGAAATTTCATTAAATCTCAATTACGAGTTCTTTTATCGAAAATCAATCAGAGTCCACAATTTCGAAAATTTGGAGCATTAATTTGAAAATTTTAACGACCAATATTGTGATTCTTATTCATAAGACCGTATTTTGCTATATATAAATTTTACTCGAAAGTCTCCGACTTTTCATTACAAATCTACACTCAGAAGAATTACATAATTATACCTTCGAGCAAGTCCTGTGATGGAGCACGGGTCTAGCCCGCACAGTTGAGGTCGGCACTGAGCAAGCTTCAAGCAATGCTTTGAGAAGGACCATCCTGCTGACATGCATGCACCGAAGCCACACATCACCCCCAGAATGCTGGACAGGTCCTGGAAGTGATGCCAACTGCAAACCCATCTGTGTTTCAGCTGCATGCACCAGCTTTGCATGGGCACATATCGCGATTGCAGGGAAGCGCTCGCGCCTAGGGACGAGCATCCAGACAACTGCTGCCCACTGCACATCGAATACTGGACGACTTGGCAGCAGAAAGGAATGCAAACTACAGACCCACAGTGAACCATCCTGCTCCCAAGGTTGCACTGTCGGACAGCGAAACAAGATCGACCGTGCGGCCCCTTGTAAGGTCTCATCTGCCAGAGGCTTCCGTGCATGGCACCTACACACCACAGGCATAAACGAGCCCAGAGATTTCATTTTCGGGAACACTGCCCGAAACTGAAACCGGTGAGCTTGCTGTGCCGAAAAAGGTAGGACTTGCACTCTCCCCAAAATTGCTGCACTGGGACTCAGCCAGTGATTCTTGGCTACGTGGGACGGAAGCTTTGGGTTCCTCATGTGCATCCTCCCGTATCTTTGGTTGCAACGGTATCGTCGCAAGATGAAGCTTCTGGGCCAGCATCTAGGCAGCCATGCGAAACAGCATAGAATGCATTGTGGAAAACCTGGCGCCAGGTGGCATTGATGTCGCTCATGTGGGTTGTGTCCGATCTTAAAGGCAAGTTCATAAATCTTGAACTTGTGCAATTCGGTACACCATGTCGAGATCCAGTAGACAAGCCGATCTCTGTGATCGGTCCTGAAAGGACTCGTGTTTTGGCCTCACACGAAGCTCTCCGAAGTTGCCGGTGCTTATGACGCCATGGACTGCGCATGCGCAGTTCTATCTCGCACTTGGTGGTCAGTTGAACTATTTCGGCAAGCCTGAACCTGCAAGCCGAATCTGTCACCAAAAACCCGGCATCTGCGGCATCTTGCATCTCAACCCATGGCCTCTGGCTGAAGGACCATGCTATGCCGCGGCTTGTTGCTAATGCCACATCCAGGCCATGGTATGATTGTTCTGTGCATGGTTTGGTCTGGCGGTAAATGCCCATGGCTTATGCGTGGACGCCTGCAAATACGATGGAGCACTAAGGGCCGATGTGATTTCTAGCATCTGGCAAACCAGAGCCATTCACGATTCAGAACCTGTGAGGCTGCTGCTTCTGCGATCTTGAGGACATTGCTTGCAGCGCCATGCTCTTGCTTTGCCTCAAGTGCTGCCACAGTATACATATTGTTCGACATGGTCACATTCTGCCAAGCTTTCCACCAAAACAACCTGGACACGGTTCTTAGAAGTCGGGGGCTCAGGCAACCTTTTGACACTCTTTCGTGGAATGTGCACCCGTGTCGCAAAGACTGTTTCCGAAGTCTCTTGCTCAAGAGAAGAAACATGAAGAACTCTCAAGCGCCTTTTCCTGGCTCACTGCAGCCCCTCTCTGCAATACCTCGTGAATTTAAAATTTAGATGCATGCAGCGACCCCTGCCCTGCATAATGGCGGGCTGATTCTGTCTCTACTGCGGAACGAGGGCTTGGTTGATAACCGATCCATTGCCTGCGAATTGTCGCAAGTTGGGGGGCGCTGAATGATGCTCCCCCTCTGCCTATCTAGGCAGCATCACTCTCCGCCTGCATCACCTGCTTCAGGACACATGGCAACTGCAGCTTCGATCATCGGCTTCTGGAGGACAGCAGAGACAACAATCCACGACTTCCGAACGGCATGCCATCATGATGGACTCACTTCTGTTTACTCTGCACTGCGCATCTCTGGTCGCCGCTAAGGATTCCGGATTCCGAGCTTTTAACCCCGAGCTGGCATCGCACTGCCTTCAATTGAATTCCGGCCCGAGCTAATTTCAACTAGGAAGTTGGCCACGCCTGGCGTATGCCGCGGACAAAGTGGGTGATCGTGGCCCCGTCGTCCTGGGGGAGAGCCTGGCGGTGAAGATCTGCCACGCCTTCTCAGTATCTTGCATTGATCAACACATCAACGACCAGGTTTATCACAAATGCTCAGGTTGCAAAGCCAGGCTGGACCTGCGTCACGAGCATGGCCAAGATTGGGCGCCCATGATTGGGATCGTACTTGAACCTCAGGAGAGTCAAGCTCAACTTTCGCGAAATACTTCGGCATTCACGTTCTCTAGCTACATCCAACAGGCCTATCAGACCCCGCCTCGTGACTTTAGCGTGAAGATGTGCGTGAAGCGAGTTTCCTACGAGGGAACTTCCTGGGGACCCAGCGCACAGCTTGCTGCGCCACCCCACTGCCGGACCCCTTCGACCCCGTCGAACCTTGGAATGATTCTGCGGCACGTCCGAAACTAGCGAGATTACAAATTACAAGTGAAATTAAGTGAAGAAGTCTAGCATTCCACTTACTACGACCAACTTACTACAAGTTAGCATGCGAACTCTGCGCAAACAATTGCAGACATATAACATTGCCAGATTGTGCAACGTGTACGAGTCAGCGGAGCACTCCCTGAACCTGGCGGCCGCGCCATTGGTCCTTGGGTGCACCCCGACCTAAGGAAGAAGTGAGCCCACGGCTGCCATCGAAAAGCTCAGCTCGACACAAACAGGAAGCTGAGCTCCCTGCGCTGCACTTCCCCAATGCAGCTCAGGCCAATCCCAAGGCTGTCGTAGGGCCTAGCACCTAGACAGTGCATCACTCCAGAAGCCACATCCATTCCCACTTGCACAAAGTGCGTTTGAACTTGGAAGCTTCATGTTGCTTGATTGACTCTTGATGCTCCAACCTTTACACAAAGAACGCGCAATGAGCACACAGGAGACTCTGCTCCTGCTCCTGGTGGCTCCGCAAGGCAGCAAGCCGCAGCCAATGAAACTTGAGCCACGGACTGCTTGGGGGCCCGCGGCCGCCGGGTGAGCGGAGCTGGTCGATGAGGTCCTCGGACACTGATGGCCGCTCTGAGCATGTTGCATGATCAAGTGATCAATTTTGCAGTCAAGCACGGCTGCAGCGCAAGCTTGGAGTTTGATTTTGCCACACAGCAGAAGCAATGCCAGTATGTCGGTGTGATGTGACGGCGGTTGATTTGCCCCAAGCACTTTCTGCAAGTACATGGTAAATCAACACTATGGAACAAAATGACGCTGCACGCCCTTATTCCTACTATACTTGATTCCTGCATACAGGTTCTGCAATTGCAAACCGGCCCTAACCGGTCGAGGGGTCCAAATGCCACCGTGCAGCTGTCGTCATCAACCCAGCAGAAGCTTTGCTCAGGATTCGTACCTCGAGTGGAGCAAATGCTGTATACAAAGACCTGAACAGAAAGGGGCTTAAAACTCTCCCTATGCCAAGGTCGCCCCACATTCGATCAGACTCAAAAGCTCTTATTCCGGATGCCCGATTACACAGAAAGTCTGGTGCTGACGGTGTCGCTTGGCCGGGCACCCTCCAACGTGTGGGCTAAGCATGAAGGGGGCCCCTTCTCGTACTGCTGTTGAAACCCCTTCTGCGACTGGCGGTTTACCGCATCGGCAGCTTGCGTTGTGCAGCGAGAACCATACCCAAGATATCAGTCTGGCATCTCGGCTGAGCCCGTCACTCCTGAGATGGGGTGCTGCCCGCCATGGATGACTGCCAGTAGAAACTTAGCCTTGCTTGCTGGGCGGCGGGAGAGCAGGAGTTGCAGGAGAGGGCTCGGAAAGAACACAACTAGAATACTCTGAGGTGGCTTCCGGAAATGGTTGACTTGCCGTACTATCGGGTACTATCGGCCGACCAGAAAGGTCTGCAGGGACATAGCTCTTGCGGCCGGAGCAGCGTAGTCGTCCAGTGTGCTTAACCTTCGCAAACGCGTCAGAATTCCGCAGGTTGCGAAAGAAGCCCTGCATTGATTATTGATTGTCAAACGAACGCTCAGGTTCTTGCAAGCCCCCTTCCAGGCTGGAGAGACCTGCACGAAAGCACAGACAGTGTTCTGTAGGCTTTCAGGTTTCTCTCATCATCTTGGCCTCCACCAGCTGAGGGTAGGCAGCAACGGCCCAGCCAGCGGCTTTTCATACCTACCACCAAGCCGCTTCACCGAAGCTGGCAGTGTCAGTTTCAACTTTCAACTCGCAGGTTGCCTCGCTTTGGAGGGTCGACGCGGACCAGCCGAAAGTTTGTTCCAGTGCCCCCCCAGCGCGAGGACTTTGTGTACCTGCTCGAACCAGAAAGCGGAACCAAACACTTGGAACTGACTTGATTTGAGCTGCTCGAGGCCTGGTAAGCTGAGTGCCGAACCTGTACAGCACGCTCAGCCTCCGAGCTTTGGAAGCCCTTGTCAAGCTGAAGCCGGTGTCGCCTTCCCAAACAGGGTGCTACCCACATGTGCGAGACGCACGTTGGCGGTGCTAAGTTACGTTTTCTTGCCGGTGCACAACTTCATTAAACCAGAGTTTACCCCCCCCCCCCGAANNCCCCCAAAAAAAAAAAAAAGAAAACCATGAAAGGGACCCCAATTCAACCAAGCACCGCTGAGCCACAAGACTAGGCCGAGAGGCTCATGCCCAAGGGCCCCAAGATGTGGTCGCGCAGGTAGGTCTCCAGCTGCTTGCCTCCAACGGCGAGTTCACAAGGAGGGCGCGCGCGCGCGTGCTGGCACTGGTACCGGTATTTCTGCGCAGAAAAAAGCTTGAGGTAACCATGTAACATGATGTGGGCGAGACCATTTGTTGAGACCAAGAACGGATTCAGGTTCAACCCTCCTGATCTGGGCTGCCAGCCGGATTTCAGCTCAATCAAATGTCCGAGCACATCGTAGCCTCGGCGGGGCAGTTTTAGTTCAGCAGCATCTTGCTCCTTGCCTGGAACTGACTCTATCTCGGGGAGTCGCTGTAGCCATAGCCATAATGCTGGCCTGGCAGAAGCAGTAGCCTTATACTTATGCTTGGCATGTTCAGGGTCTGCATCTTGCATCAGAACAAGGCAATAATCGTTTCTGATGAGACCTTGTATGGATGCGTGGCCTGAAATGGCCTGAATGCGGACTTTACTCAGACTTATGCCCGGCCTGGATGACTGACCAGCGGGACGTTGGCCAGCTCCTGCACCTGAGGGTTTTTTGGGAGCTGGAGCCTAAAGGCTTTCTGGCAAGGCTGACCATGTCTGATCATCTTCCGCAGCACAGGCGCCCAATCAGCCAGACGTTTGAATTCATTGCGATCCACACCTTGGAATACCACGGCATCTTGAGTCTTGATACATCGTAGGTATGAGGCAAGCTTGCAAAGGATTTCGTGAAGCAGAGTCAACACTGAAAAGAGCACGAGCAGCTGCATGCAGCTGCAACATACGGTAGCGAAAACTGCTGAGGTTGAGGCGGTCTACAAGGGGCGTGTAAATGTTGGCCTCAGCTTGCAGACGATGGGGAGGTGTGGCGAGCCTTCCCTAAAGCCTGTGCTGCGCAACTTCTGCTAAGTTTGGCGGCCCAAGCTCGTTCGCGCGCACTCCTGGGTGGGCAGGAGAGCGGAGCACAAGCACAAGGCGGCGCAGCTTCCCCTCACGCCGGAGTCCTGATCCTGGGTCCGTCGAGCACTGGGGCCAGACCGCAGGAGATCCCAGAGGTATGTGTCAGCCTCGGAAGCGAGAGAAACGCAGTTTTGAGTCTATCAAAGCATGCCAAAGCTCTTAGGATGCTGCAGGTGCCGGATGGTGATGGGCCGCCGACTTGGCACAAGCCTGCCGAAGTCTGGCCTTGTTGGCATGAGCGGGGTGCAGTAATCGCTCGTGACTACTTGCCATAGACTTCTCTCATGCTGCGCAGAAAGGCCACGGCATGCCGTCAGATCGTTCGGCAAGAACCTTGGACATGTGCACAAGCGTGTGGCCTGTGTTTTGTCTCCGGCGAACTGAGAGTGGCCCAGGCACCTTGGGGTTCTCGAAGGCCGGGATGTGCTTGGAGAGCTCATCATCTAGAGTCAGGTGCCCTTCCTGCAGTGCCAATGAAAGAGCGGAGCAGCACTGTGCCAAACGCGTATACCAATGCGAGCAACGTCGGTCGTGCAGCGGAGATGCACATGACATGATAAACTTACTTAGCATGTGGACGCCACACGTGGATTCAGCGCATGCTGCAACCCTTTCCCAATCCACAATAGCACGAGTCTACCAGACGCTGTACTCTAGTGGTGAAGCTTGGGATCGCGACCTCAGCGAGCTGCAACACAGCAGCAGCCACGACGCACTTTGACATCGAATAGATCTGGGCAGCCAGAGCACGAGTATCAAACAAACTGATTCTTGCCGTTACGAGAACTGGCCAGCAGGACCGTCGTCAGCGCTAGTGCTACCGGATGTTAGCGGTTGCAGCAAGCTGCAACTGAGCAACGCTGACTCCTTTTCTTGTGATTCGGTGTGGCATTCAGTTCAATGGCTCAACGGGAGCGGGCGACTAATTCAGGGCCAGAGACGAGCGTCTGGAAGCCGTGCTTCACCCTGCCACGGATGGCTGCATTTTCTCGTCGTAGCCTTTCCACCTGGGACTCCAGCTCCTCACGCTCCATGCCCAGCTCGGACTGCCATTGCAATCTCAGTGCTTCCTGCGCTCGGAGGAGCTGCGATGCTCTTTGCTCTTCGTCTTGGGCTCTGGACTGCAGGGCTTTCATTTGGCGCGTGAGGCGCCGGTAGTCGGCCTCCGCCTGGCGCTTTGCTTGCTCCACCTCGTTGTTTGCTTTGAGCCGCGCCTCCTGGAGTTCAAGCTGGGCTTTCGAAAGGCCTTCCTCTGCAGAGAGCGCTCGAGACGAAGTTAGCTGGAGCTCCTGCTGCACCTGGCTCAGCCGTTCTTCAACGGCCTGGAGCTGGGACTGAAGGCTGGCCTGGTCCGCGGCAGCCCTTGCAAGGTTCTCTTTTGCATCCTTTGTGGAAGCATCCAGGCTCCCTCTCAACTTCGCGAGTTGCTGAGTTGCTTCTGCCAGCTGCTGCTCCAGTTTCCGGCGTGCTTCCTGGGAGTTCTGGTAGTCACTCTGCAGGCGCTCGTGTTCGTCCTTGTAGCAGGCACTTTGTCTCTCTAATGCGGATGCCTGCCACTCCTGCTGCTTCTCGAGTCTCTCGGCCTTTGCTGTGGCCTCCGAGCACGTCTGCTCACTGTTCCGAAGCTTCTTCCGCAGGTCTTCAAGCGTCTTCTGCTGAGAGCTCTTCAAGGCCTGAAGCTCCTGCTCCTTCTCGCGCTTCAGGGCACTAAGCTCTTCCTTTAAACGAGCCTCCAAGCGCTCGGCCTGCTTTCTGCTGGCCTCCTCTGTGCTTCTGAGCCGGTCCTTCTCGATCTGAAGCTCCATCAAGCGTGCCTCACGGTCCTTGAGCTGCGCGACCTTGTCCTTCAGTCAGACAGATTGCACTCGAACCTGGGAGTTGAAAAAAAAAAGACCTGGACCAAAACTATGTGTGACTGATGTTTCCACCCACTCCCTTAAAAAGACCAAATCACCCAAATCCCGGCCGTCCTCATGTGCCTGGCGGATGTCAACCAGCTGCCGATCCATGGTGTCGGCCTCGCAGTGACCGCTGTAATGGAGGCAAACACCAAGGTGGTAGGATGTACTTTCCAAAACACGCCACACGAGACTCGAACTGATGCACATCATGACTCCAACAGCACATAAAGGGTGCTAAGGCATCGGCAGTCTGCAAGAGTTGCTGAGCCTCCTGCTTGGTGGCTTCGAGCTCCTTCCAGCAGTCTTTTTTCAACTTTCGGCATGTACAGTAGCAGCATTTTATGTACTGGGACATAGGTCTAGCTTCTGGATTCTGGTCCCAGGCCAGTCGTGCAAGAAACGAGGCTGTCAGAGTCAGAGGTCCTTCCGTGTCAGGTGCAGCTCCTCTGCCCTCTCGTCCAGGCCATTCCGTGCTTCCAGCGCCTGGCGACGATACTCGCCTTCACGCTTCTGCGTTCGGGCGAGGTCGGCTTTTAGCCGCTCCTCCTCGTCAAGCGCCAAGGCACATCTCTCCTGAAAGGACTTCTGATTGATTTCATTGGTTTGGGTCTGTACCTCGAGCTCGTGCCTCAAGGACTCCATCTCTGCCTCCAGGGCATCCCGGCGACTCACTTGATCGACAAGCTCTGCCGTCACCTCTTCCAAGCGCTGCTCTGCGACAGCCCGTTGATGGGCCAAGGCCTCTCCCCTTTGCACCTCCTCTGCCAAGGCATTCGTGTTCTCGCTAGCCTTCGCATAAACCTCCTGGGCTTGCTGCCGTCCTGCTGCAAGCGTCTGCTGCATCCGTTCAAGCTGCAGCTTCAGAAGCTGATTCTGTTGAGCCAAAGCCTCGTTTTGCTCTACGCTGAGCCGGTATAACTCCTGGAGCTCCTCGTGTTGATCATCCACGAGTCCGGCTTCTCCAGGAGCCTCGCCGCCACGGTAGCCCAGCAGCTGCAGATTGCGTAGCTGCTCGGTGCGCTCTTGCAGCTCAGCACGCAGCTGATCGTTCTCCTGGGCCAGCAGCTGCGCCTGCTCGGCGATGCTCACGGACCTCTCGATAACAGCCTCCAGCTCGGAGATGCGCTCCTCGTAAGCGAAGAGCAGGGGCGACATCATCTGCATGTTCGTGACCCAAGGCGGCAAGGGAATGTCGTCCTCAGGTCCGGCCTCTGGCAAAGGACGCTTGCTGTTCTGCTGATACCGCCGCAATTCGCGGGTCACACGCTCTGCATAATCCTTCAGCTCTCGCTTCTCCTGCGTCAAGCGGATGAACTGCTCCTGCAGCTCCGGTGCAGTTGCCGGTGGCAGTTCCACAGGCTCTCGGGACTCTCGGGCTTCCCTTTCTCGGGGCAGTGAAGCTTGCCGCTGTTGCAAGAGACGGCGCATTTCATCCAGATTGCGCTGGCCAGTGACTGGCTCCACAGCACGCTCTGCATGGCCTCGATCGACATCAGGCTGCAGCATCGCAGTGAAAGCCCTGCGGCTGCAAATTACGTGCACCTACTGGCCTCTTGCTGGTATCTGATGGCATGCGGCATCTGTACAAATGGTGCAGTGCTGGCGTGGGTTGCTCTATAACTCTATGAGGTTTCGGGTCTACTGTATTTTCGGTCAAGAACGTGGGTATCCATGTGCTACAACAGCAAAGCTAGATCCAAAGCATCCGGCACGTCGCAGAAGCGATGCTCTTCTTCCGAGGACTGACCATGTCAGATGTGGTGCCAGCGCTGCCGTTTACATGCCCAACAGAGATTGCTCAACTGGCACTGCTACGCACTGCCTAAGCTTAACAGTAACAGCAACGTTGCAGCCATGTGCAGAGTACAGAGTATGTGCGCCGACCGCAAGCAAGAAAACATGGCTCCAGCAGATGAGGCATGCGTCCAAGGATCAACCCTTGAGCTGCTGGCCTTCTTAGCCCATCATTTTGCGCTGTGCATCGAGGGGACATCACAGCAAGCGAGCTGGCAGCACAGCACGGCAGGTGTTTCAGCACTTTGCTGAAGGCTGCAAACCTGTCAGTCCTTCAAATCCCTTCGCAGGAGCCCGATTGCCCCAGTGTACTCCAAAGGAAGTCCCTCGAACCGAAGCCCCAAATAGGCCCTCAGCCAAAGCCCAGGACTGCCATTCAGTTTCGAGCCCATGTAAGTTACACACCGATCAAGCACGGGCAGATTTCAGCATCTGTCTGCTGAGTGCACCGCCCTGACGATGGACTTGCGATTCATGGGGATCTTTGCCTCCACATCAGCCTCAGACGCTGAAAGCCCAGAATCCTGGAGATTTCTATTGCCATTCGTGTTCTCACGAACTTGCCCGATGGGCCATGGCAGGCCACAGCGAGGCTGGGCAGGAAATGTCAGCATGGAGTCTCAGTCTGTTACAGCACTTCTACGCAAAGACGGAGCAGAAAGGTGAAGCTGAAAGATGCAGCACACGGAGCAGCATGTCCAATGCAAGAGACTCAGCTGAGCCCTGCTGACCAGCACATACCAGTAGCTGCTTGTTCATGTTCCAGCATGCTTCCACCCTCGATCAGCACCTTCAAATGACACAGATCCTTCTCTGGAGCCAAGATCACAGAAGGATAGACCAAGATCTCATGGCAAGCCGTGTGCTTCCGAGGCTTCCAAGGCCCTGGCGTAACCTCTCTCTTCGATCATCTGCAGCTGACCTGCGCTGGAAAGGCTTTGACATTTTTGAGACAAGCAAAGCACGTGGCTGCCTGCATCGCAGCGCAACAATTTGCATGCGTGATACGTCTCTGTGTGTGCATGCACACGCCCTGGCTCAAAGCTCCCAGGCATTTGGGCAAATGTGCGCGGAGTCGAGCGGGGAGGTTTGCGGGCGACAAAGGTCGATGGCCAACGATAACACCCCAGTTCCTCCCCACCTGCATGTTGAAATATACTTGCAGCAGCGCTCTATTCGCCGTTGGTTTCGGCAAGAATATGTCTGTTGCTTTCTCTCCACCATCGACTCCCTCTTTACAGTATTTATGACAAGGTTCTCTTCCGTTGGATCAACCGGCTCTGCTTCTGGGTGCTAGTGCACATTATCTTCAACAACATCTGAGCCTCCGATGATTGCGCATGCTGCAATGCCAGGCCATTGACCTCCAAACAACAGCAGCTGCAAGCTTTAGGAATCAAGCAGCTAGCACTTCTTATATCTTCTCATAGAGCTCAGAGGCCCATGCCTTTCTCCACCCGGCTTCGCAGCCGCTTCCGAAGGCGCTCCCAGCCACCGCCCGGGGAAGTGGCCTGAGAGTTCCGAGAATCTCAGCCATGACGGTAAGGGCTGAAACGGTTTGCGTTGGCTGCTGTCGACAAGGGAAGAGCAGCTTTCCATGCTAAATGATCAGCTTGCAAAGTGTCAGCGCAACAAGCTGGATGAGGGTTGACTCGCAAAGGATGAAGCACTTCTGATTCGGAGCACGCATCACCCCTGTCAAGCCATGATGTCAGGATCACGCTCCTGCAATCTTGCATGGCTTGTTTCTTGATGACTTCAACAGCCAGATACTCTACTCTACGCAACGATGCCTAGAGGATGTTGCCCATGATTTTGACTGCGACTTTTTAAGCTGCTAGCATGGTTTGCCTTTGTCCTGACCCTGTTCGGCTGTGCATTGCATTCCATGCTCTGTCTGTCTCCTCCTTCGAACACAAGCTTGCCGGCGCTTAGGAGGCAATTTGCTTTCTGCAAGAGCATGTGTCATCGTGATACCTGCATGTCGAGCTCTTCTCAAACCTGTGATTAACTCAATGCAAAAAGCCACTGGACCACCTCTGAGGCTCCCTGAGAGTCACGCAACAGGCAGGCCACCGAGGCCTTTGTGACTCGCTTATCCGGCGCACGGCCACGGCTTTAAGGCGGCTGTGTATAGCTTGCAGTGGGCTGCTTAGCGCGCCGCTCGAAGACCTCCGGGCAGCCTTCAACTCCGGCTGCTTCCGGCCTGCGTGATTCGGCCTGATCAAAGCCAAAGATGTCACACAGAATTCGGTCCGATCAAGGACGAAAGCAGCAACGGCAATCAATTTATCCGCGACGGATGATCAATTTCCGTTTGCAGCCTGCGGAGCACCATCGTGTGCCAAGCGAGAAACCAGCGGAGGGTAGCTGCAGCTTGCAGAAGTCTTTTCTTTTATGTACATGACGGGCTGCTGTGTAACAGGTATGGACGATTTGCCCACTCTTACCCATGTTCATGTCATGATTGAGGCAGCATGGGCCTGGAGCCAAGCTGTGAATGAGCCAATCTTTGTCTCATAGGCAGCCTGTTCATGGGCAGTGTCAATGACCTGTCAAGGTTGAATCGCAGCCTTGAAGGAGCCTTTATCCAGAGCGAGATTTGATGCATCAAGGCCTTCAGTCTTCCAAAAGGTTGGCAGCGTGGCGTATGCCGACTCTTTTCGAAATTTTTGCGGCCTCTGCGGTGTCTCAGCAGGGACTTTGCCCACTTGGAGTCCGCCGAGAACTCTGAGCAGCTCTACGACAAAGCTCTCTATTTCTCCGCACGATGCTGTCCAGAAGCGAGCTCACATGGGCGGCAGAATTCTCCGGCATGTGGGGCACTCCATCTTCACGTCCATCCACCTGCGAACGGCCAGAAGCCGGCCGGAGTCGGATAACAAAGTCGACGGGTAAGTTGCCGCAGCCCCAAGCTTTGCTGGGATTTCGCCGACATTTCTCGCATTGGGGAAGAGGACTGCTGCACGCTGGCAGGATGCATTGAAGATGCACGCAATTCCAGGGCCCTAGGATATTGGACAAACGGAACCTGCTGTCATGACAGCTGCAACACCGGCTATTCAGCATGCAGCATACATACCACGCATTTGTCGCACCAGCTCCGTCGAAAGTTATAATCTGAATGCCGTGTCCTAACTTTGCCGAACGGGTTTTAGAACGAGCAGACACAGGAGCGAGAGAGTGGGACAAAGAGATAGAGAGATAGATAGAGAGAGAGAGAGAGGGAGACAGAGAGTGAGGGTGCCAAAGAGACAAAGACAGACGGCGAGAGCGAAAAAGATGCATCTGTAATGCATGTGCAAGACTCTGGAGTGCTGAAGGCAACCCTTCGGAATCCTCGAATCCAACAAAAAGCGTGTGAACACTGCAGGCTGCAGGGCATGGGCTCCTTTCCATTGGGTCCTACATGTCCTACGCTGGCGCTGTGTCACCTGGAATCGATTTCCGGCCTCTCCAGGCACGAGTCATGGAAGCGGTGGTCGCAGGGTGTGGTGACGATGTGAGATCCATCCTGCGGCGAACACTCCATGAAGACCAAAGTCCAAGTTCATTTTCTGAAGATGCAACCTGACAGTCGCTTGCGCTAGATGGTCCCTGCTGAACTGCTCGGATACACCCACCCCAATGTTGGGCGCTTCCTCGGGAGTGATTTCCAGCATGCAGATGACACACTCGGTACCCACATCGGCCTTGCGCAGCAGATGCATTCAACATTTGTTCATGCATGCTGCATAGTACACAAGGCCATTGTGTGTTCGATGTCGACTCGCCTATGCCGCTTTGACAAGCCTTGCTGTGAAGAACTGCCTGGAACGGTACGAATGTTTTGCTGATTTCAGGCAGTACAAGTCTTTTCCTGGGAAGGGTCTCTCCTTTCTGAAACCCCTTTAAGCATCTCATTCACCTCAGCCAGCTGGCTAAGCAAATGATGGGCGTGTGGGCTCGAAAGATATTTACGATTCACCAGGCCACCACCCTGCCTGCGCAGTCCGACGGTAGTTGTACACGTGAGGGAGGCAGAGCCATGGCACGAACCACCTGCACGAGACACCACGGCCCCCTTGCCGGCCCCAGCTTGGCCAGCTGCTGCCGTCTCGAGTGGTGCCTGGGCCCGAGCCGCTGCTGTGACAGCATCACTGCCACCTCGCACCAGTTTCGAGCTGGAGTTGCGAACCACAAAATTCAACAGCGCAGTTACAGCAAAGCCTGCGCGGTCTGGAGGCAAACCGCAGCTGCACAAAGCTGAAACCTTCAGCATAGTTTTTGAGCACGCTCATCGCGCTAGATCATCTTTGGAGCACTGTCGAACACCGTGTGTACGTCTTCGGGACTGGGGATGCAGGCGATTGCGTCCCAGGTAGCTGAGGGTAGATGTCGCCGTTGAAAAGGCCTGGCAACGGATACGTGGCTCCCGTCCAGATGGTAGGTTCTGAATTCTCGGCCTGCGGGACATCCCCAAAGGTAGAGGAACTCCAAAGTGCGAGTTACCTTGTGCAAAGCCACGAAACGAAAAATACTCCGCGGTGTTCTATGCGCCACCGTTTGCTCGATAAGGTATGCAGCTGCGGGTGTGACGGAGGAGCTTTTATCCGAGAGGTTCCGGTGTGACGTCTGGGGGAACTTCATAAAGTCCCACTCTAATCTCTCCTCCCGGGCAGCGCATGGTTGTCTGAGCCTTTGCTTTCCCCCGTGGCCATGGGCTCGCCCTTCAGATCCCTTCAGCCCTTCGCCACACTTGCTGCATCACGGACCGAGGCGGGGTCGTTCAGTGATGAATCAAACTTCTGGGAATTGAACACTGTATGGCCAAGCTCTCTGAATTGCTACACTCTGCTACACCGATCGCCACAAGTCTCCGGCCGCGATTGTGATGATGAATCGTCGCCTGGGCACAAATCAAGCATTTCAGCTCAGACCGCGGCCATATTTTCGCTCACTTGGACAACAAGGATTTCTCAGAAAGAAGCTGCAGAACATGCCATCGAATTTGCTAGGCTGAGTCGCGTGAAGGAGTTCTTGGAGCCATGCCTCACCTGTCAGGCATGTGCCATTTTCTTATCCACCTCTTCCTTCCATTCTCGTACAGCACAACAGCACGAGCACCGAGAGCGCGGCATCATGAAGTATTTGCGGAACCCAGTATGCCTGTACCCCGTGGCAATGCATGAAGGTCAGGTTGAAAGCAAACCGGCTTCGTTGCTGAAACTTTTCGCTTTTACATGTTAAGTTTGTTGTTGGCGATCACATCGTCCTGCATTGCCAGCGCCACAATGTCCAAGTAGTCCGAGGCGACGAAGATCTTGGCAAGGCAGTCGAGGCGGCTCAAATTTCATGATTATGAACCAAAATTTTTATGATTACACGTTCCACAAACGACCGCGGTCTATGTCGGATGCCAGGGCATGGGCGAAAACAAGTCCTCCAATCAATGCACCATAGAACTGTGCATAGACCTGCCGCATCAGAGCGAGGACATTCAAAGAAGCTGGCTTTGCAGCACCACGAAATGAGGGAAACATACGGAAACCATGCTTGTTGAGCTTCGTTGTCTGCTGTTTCCACAAAAGCTCCTGCATCCCCCTGTCATGATTACAAGGCCGGGCACTGATGTCCACCTTTCGGTTCTGACAGCTGTTCTTTTGCACACACGTTCTGAGTCTTGAAGAAGACGGCTGTGATCTACAAACTTGGAGCAGTTGCCACGCTGAACGAGAAGATCTGCCACGGTCCAATGGCAGTCGCATCGCGGAGTCTCATAAGCACTGACTATGCGACTGCTCTGACGAGTGCGGAAGTACTACAAACTGCAGCTGCGTATTGCCCTAGACATGTTGCAGGACGAGAACAAGGTGTCTCTTCCCGTGGCACACCCGCGACAGCTCTTGCCGCACAGTCTCCCAACCTGGCGAGCGCTTCCATTGGCTGTTAATTTGAGTCTCAAAGCGCACTTTGAGCAAGCCACTTGAAGGTGCTACTTTGAGAGATGCTCTGAGGTGTGCTACTTCCAGAATGCACTTCGCCAAGCTACTTCGAAGGCGCTACTTCGAGGCTCCATGCTCCGCTGATCACTGCACGGCGAGACCCGGGCCCTTTGAAACATCACTCTCCCGGGCCTTCTGCAAAGACGTGCTGGTGATGATGCCTGAACTGTCTTAGTATGCGCTTCAAGATCGAGTGCAGCATCACAGCATGCAGGAAATACATGTCTGCTAGCAGCCCATGTGGTATTGCAACGGCATGGCACATCTCCGTGATACCAGTATCCACTTGTGCCTCCAAATCAGCAAGAGGTAGCGCACCTGCACCGCCATCAGATATGTTTCAGGTCTGTTGGGCTGCAGCTAGGCAACACGGCTCCACTTGAAACAGGTGGGCCCAAAAGCAAATGTAATGGCATCTGTGCGACACACCACCGCGCAAGTGGACACTCTTCAGGAGGCTGTCAACTGCTGCCATCCCTCGAACTTGTGCCGAATCTGCACACTGCAGTAGTTTGGCACACGCGGCCTCAACCAAAGCGAAAAGGGAAAACTTGAGCATCGAGACCACCGCGAAGTTGTACGTGTTCAGTGCCTGCCAAGTTTTGAATCCGCTCGCTGTCACTGGCTCCGTTGCCACGGACTCAGGACTAAGCTACCGAAGCAATCTCAAGCGCACTATCTCAGCAGAGGACACTAAGTCTGCAGACAGGAGCCCAGCATGCGCTTGTGTGGACCACCGGCTGCTCGGGCAAAGCATCAAGCATCAACAGAACTAGGGGCAATACTTACATTGGCAATACTGAGGAATTGGGTCAACTTCTGTGATCGCTTGGCCTGCACTGGCGCTGCCACACTCAGGTGAAGGAAGGAATCGAAAGCATCCATGAGAGCCTCATTCACCAAAGTGGGATCATGACGGGGCTGTACTGTGGTCGCCGTCAATGATGTGCGGCCTGCATGGCGATCCCCAGAACGGAGAGCTTCGTGACCGAAGCATGCTCCTCCTGCGACACATTTCCGGCCAGTTAAGATGCTCTGTGTTGAAATGCAGGACGTGCGCCAAGGACTGTTCTATCGCAAGTCTTTGTCGACGTTCCGCAAGTTGCTAACATGAAGGGGAAGGAGTCTGCTGAGTCGACCAACTCCAATTCAGGCAGTCGCTTCCTGAGTTCCTAAAATTCGGCTCACGCATGTCGAAGCAGTGGCAACTCTCCTCGTGGTGCCGCATCTGGGACAGGAAGCCACGAAGTTGTACCAACGTGAGCGTGTTCATGAGGACCTTGGTCATGCAGGAGAAGAGCTTGGAGTGTCTCGAGACAGCGTCATCGATGACGCTCAGCTCTGCTGCACGAGGATGATGCTAGGATGCAAACTCAGAAGTTCAACATCCTGTGTTCAAGCCAGAAATTGGAAATAGGCTTCCGGCTGCATAGTTCACGACCTTCCAGCATGAAGCATGCTGCGCACGCAGACACTCCGGACGACATGACGCACAGTACCTCTGATTGCTGGTGTAACATGCTGCGGATCTACAATAGACAAGACAGACGAAGACCCCTCTCGGCCTTCTTGCCGAGATACTCGAGATCCACCTTTCATACGGTCAAGCACAGAGAACCCGCCCAATTTCAAGCATTGTCAGATCAGTTCCTGGGAAGCTTAGGAGGAGGAAAAGGGCGACGTACATTTCGACGCCGTGGCGACTCGGTCGATTCTTTCGCAAGCCAAGGTGGTACTGCAAATGCCAAATGACAGAAGAGAGGACAAGATTCTGTGGCCCGGTTCTGGACATTAGGATGGATCGAGCATATTCAGCATGAGGATCTCGCGAGTCAGCGGCCTTACAAACTTATGTATAGGAGCGCTTTCGGCACTTTGACATTGATCTGCACTCGTTTGCTTGCGACCGCCTGCGCTTCATGCAGCAGATTCTTTCGTGCTCAACCCTCAGACCTTCTCCAGCTCAATATGCAGCGAAAAGCCGCAATCGGGTGACACCTCTGGTGTGAATGCGTTTGTTGTGCTTCTGGCAGCACTCACTGAAAGCTCGACCAGAGGGCACCAGCACCGACCCAAAGCTGTCATGAATCCAAGTCTTCGACAAGCTCGGCTTCGAGGTTTGTACCTGAGCTGTGGGAAACAAGTTGCATGCCTAGAGCAATCCTCTGATCTCGGGCATTTTTCAGGTATGTGCGCCCTACCACGAGCCGCAAGGGCGGAATCTTGGAGCGGTTCGATACATGGGGCTGCCCCCTAGCACTAAGATACACATTGCCGCCACCCGTCCGCTCCGTATCCAGAAACTGTACTTGCCTACATCTTCGTCAGAACAAGAGCAAAAGCAAAAGGTACAGCACTCTCTTTTCTCAGGCCCAGATGTCCGTGGCCGAGGTGGGCCCGCATTAGCTTTGAACTTATCCAGGGCTTTGCCACAACTCTCAGGCTCCTGCCGTTGGCAGACAGTCGCGAAGTTGCAGGGGCCGGCTCCTTTGCTAACAATGAGCACATGTGTGCGCTCTACTTGCCTCGCCACTTCCTACCATGTGTATCTGAAGTGAGGATGACGAACAAGCCTTACTGCTGCTGCTCACTGCTGATCAATTCCGAACAGCTCATGGGCATGGCTTCAAAGCGACCTTTGCATCTGCTGCATGATCTGCGTTTCAATTGCTCAAGCCTCGGCATTCGCCGCGGCTGACCCATCCAGAGTCCTTAGTCGTTTGTAAATGGGCCAAAACGGAAAAGACCCGACCCCTTTGGCCATCTGCCTTACGAAGGTGGCACTGCAATACGATTGTAGCCTTGTTTGTAACGGAGCGTCCTAATGACGTAGATATGTCTGCACACGCTTCGTGCTCTAGCACTCCCATCAAAGAAGTGCCCCGCTGCCTTGTGCGACCAGGCTAACATAACTGCCGTCCGAGACACTTCAGAAAGGACTCCAGGCGACACCACCTGGAAGAAACGTGTGTAGTGCGGCTATCCCTTGACGTTTTTCTCACTCAGCCGAACGACAAAGCAAACAAACACACTTAAAATGCGCACGTCTGAGGCTGCAGCTGTTGTCCATCTTCCCTGTTCTTCTTGGCCTGCATGATGGTACGAAAATGAGGACATGTACTATGGTTGTATTATGCAGCACCTCATACCCGGCGAGCTTACATCTTCGGCCTTGCGTGTGGGCTGAGGCCTTGGCAGTCTGACCAAGCGCCATCACGGCACCGTCGCCAGTCACGTCCAGGCCTCCCACTGCGATTCCCCACGAAGGAACCAGCCCCGGGTCAGCGCAGCACGCGCCCCCACTGTTTCTCCACCGCACGGAACGCTCTGATACATTGGTCTTAGGCATGGCCCCGGATAGCAGATCCAGCACGTTTTCATTGACGAACCCTTGTGCTGCGAGCTCGATCTGCCACACTCGCTTGAGGACAGTCCTGAATCCGCCTCCGCACCCATGTCTCCCGGGGCTTGGTGCCCGAACGACAATCGATCGATCCCATCTCGAGCGCCTTGGCTGTTCACCATAGCGCGTGTAGAGAGCCACGTGGTCTTCCAAGCTGACAGCATTCCAGGGTCGATGTCAGTTTCGCAGCCAGAAGCCGCGAGCATCGACCGAGGCATGAAGACGTGAAAATGGCATCAAACGCCGGGAACTATGCCGCTTGGCTTAGCTTCGAAGTAGGAGTGGCCAGAACGCGACACATTGCAAACCTCTGATCTTCAACCCTGGACCCCCTTTCAGTGGCGCTTCTTGGTCAACTCCTGCCCGTGTTGAAACAACTTGAAGCTAGCAACGGCAACCTTGCACCCCCACCTGTCGATCGTCTGCGATACCACGTGGCACCTTTTTCGATCAAAGAGCTAACTCTAATTGAGACCGGCCCTAACAACTCCGACCCTCTGCAATGTCAGGAGCATTTATACGTATCCTAGGCAAAGCCCAAGAGATTCCATCAGACGGCTGAGCGCAGATCTCGACAGAGTGGGGTAGCCAAAGAAGTTGGCTCAGTCTGTGCGGCTCCGAGCGGTAAAATCCTACAGACCAGCAGTGGTATAGTATGGTATAGTTAACACCTTAACAACATCAAGAGGAGAACTGCATCAGAGGACATTTCCAAAGTCCAGTCTAAACAGCACTCTGATTTTCATGGCCGTGAATGTACTACGTATTCTCCTGCTGGTCCGATGCCCTTCAAAAGGCCGCAGGACATGGCAGCAGAACGCTTCATGCAGGCAGGTGTTCCACTTCAGGTTCACCTGGTCCCAAAGAAAAAAAGCATGCAGAGAGCAAGCGTGGCCTACTCTAGCCGGATTGCCCCAAGTGTTGGGGGCCAGGTCAAGCACCCGTCAAAGCTGCCCTAAGGGCCCTACGATGACCACAGAAGCACGGACCTGCTGAACGGAGGGACCGGATGAGATCGCAATGGTAATAACGGGAAGCTGTGTGTGTGCCATGGTCACCAGGAGCCGCTGCCCTGCATGGTCCGAGACACTCCGTGTTGCCTACTTATCTGAGAAAACTGCTTGGCACACGGCTTGTGATGTCGACCAGGGTTATCTTGTCAGAAGCGGATTTCAACCAAACTGCACGGTCAAGTCACGGACTCCGTGTGCCGCTGTGCCCTTTCTGCTTTGCTCGACATCATCGTGCTGCAGAAGACATCTCAAAGCAGTCTCGCTTGGGGTAACTTTGTGCCCTAACTCTGCAAGGGCATGTCGCTTCAACTAGTTTTGCCGTCGGACTACATGTGCGTGATCGTGATACAACCTACGCTTCATCTACCAGAACATCGCCAGGAAGGGACGGAGAAGTCTTCAGAAAACCGCTTCCCAGCCAACGAGCCCCGGCATTGTAGGCTCATGCGTCTCCTGCAGCTGCATAGATTTCACGCTTGGAAACTTTGCCATGCATCCCACCATTGGGTAGAATGCGCACCGGAAGCAACTGACATTAGAGCAGAGGCTTGGCCAGGCACATATGAGACTCGTTACATAGTATATAGCGGGCTGGGCTTCTCTTTGAACTTGCTGCCAGCATTCTGCTGATTGTGCTCCGGCTTTGCATTCATTCTCATTCATGCAGTGAGGCAAGCAAAACTGCGGCACATTGGGCTGAACTAGCTCGCTGCCGGTCTCTGTCTTTGCGCCTGGAAGTAAACACGATCTGCACCATGGTTGAAACCAAAAGGCTTTACACTCTGCTGTCTCCAACTTGTCCAACCATGTTTGATCACTACGTGACCTTTCGTCAGCTCGCCCTGCGTGCGCAACGCATGACGCTCATCCAGTCGCGAAGGGCGAGGTACTTGCGTCCACAAGCTTCGCGTGCCTTGCATTGCAAATGTCACGATCCACGTCCGTGCAAGCATGCTGAGATGCTTCCAATAGGTGAAGAGTTGGCGTACTGCGGCACTTTCCAATTTGGATGGTTCTTGGTTTTCATGCAAAATCCACAGATGTTGCAAGAGTGGAGTGATGAAACCATAGATGTCAGAACTTCTGCAACAACGTTCCAGTACGATCGCAGGGCTCCGGGTCGAGTAGGTTCGAAGCACGGGGGCGGCCTGAAAAGCCATTAATGTGTAACAAAAACGACATTAATTGAAAACAGGTTTCGACAACCCGAAGCTGGAGAGACACAGAAACCTTTCGTAGCCAGTTGTGCCATGGCCTGTTTCCGGCAACTTCGAAGAGGCAGACGGAGTACATAAAGGCCGAGCCAATGAAGACCTCGTCAAACGGCGGGCCAGCTGTCAAAGGCTTTGATCGTGCTATCGTGACTTGGGCCTTGGGGTCATTGCGAAGACTACACATGAGTCATTGATAGGCCAACCTGTGTCATTCAATGCAGGGTGCATAACTGATCGAAGAACACAGTATGGGATGCTCCGGAAAGTGCTCGGATTGGGCATGCTGCGCTGAAAAGCAGGTAAATACTTCTGGTCCTTGCAAAGCCTGTCGAGCGATGTCGAGCGGTGGATGTAACACCTGTTGCCGTTTTATTGCTCTGTCGCCGTGCTTTCGATGACTGCGTGGGTTTCCTCAAAACTGCCGCCGTGCACAACTTTCACAAACGGTGCTTCTAAGGCCAGCGCGAACAAATGCCACATCGCGTGGTGAAATTCCACGCTGGCACCTCCGAGTTTTTCAAGATGGAAGCTGGAAAATGTCAATCTAACATTTCCACTTCATACTCAAGCTCGGAAGACGCAGATGGTCCCAGCTTGCTTGTTTCCCACGGCACACAAATGGAATGGCACGCCCAACGTGAAG